TGGCTCTATGGCCGTGTGGAAGCAATTCACTTTAATGGGCGTGCCGGCCAACTGTGTAAGCTTTCTTCCTCTTCACAGCCCGATTCAAATTATCTGTGAGGGCCAATGAAGAATAAACTATTGGCTACTACACCTGAAAACACATCTATCATTGCATATAGTGGATGTGCGCACCCCTAAAATTCTGGGGCTGTTATCAATGATCATGTAATTTTGCAACTGGCATTAATGGTCCAGGTCTGAAAATCTGAAAGCTAATACTACAACAGCTTACTCACATTTGTGTTACAAAGAGGAAAGTCTTCTTTTGGAATAAAATCTACAGGACTGAAAGAAGAAAGAGTAGTGAACATGGAACAGGAAATAAAGAAATCAGGAAAAAAGAAGTGAATTTTCATATTTCAGGAAAATATGAAATCAAAATCACCAAATCAGAATGTCTTATTTGGACTCACCATTAAAACAAGGTGAAAAGAAAAACCTGAGTTTCTGGAGTCCTCATAACAGGACTGAAATACAAGAAATTCCAACAAAAAGTATAATAGTGTAGACACAGATAGGAAAAATAAATAAATGTATCATAAACCATATTTCAGAAAGTATATTTGAGTCTCCCATATGTTAAAATTTTGTTAGGTAAAAGACCACTCTAAGAATGGATGGCTGAATGAACAAGTCTCAACTATGGATAAGGTGCCAGAGTGCATAAGATTTGCCTAGCTTTCATAGCATGCATTTAAGTTATTCCCAGCAGCTGAGTGCCTGGCCTGGGGGGAAATGGGCACCCCGGGGACCTGGCCCTTGTGGGAGGTGAGTAGGGTCTTGGGCCTCACACTTGGAGGCAGACAGTACCGACAGGTTAACGGGAGGCAGGGAACCACGCTGAGGACTGCTGGAGGGAAAGAGGACATCAAATGGCCATGGGTTTGTGGCTCCATCACTAATTTGTTATGAGACTACTATTTTCCTCCTTGTGCCTCAATTTTCCCCATAACCAAACTGAGAATAATCACTGTAGGCAAAATGAGATTAAATAACACATGAAAATACACTTTAAAATTATGAGCCTCAGTGGAGGATGACTATTGGGCTGTAGTTTTGTGGCATCTAGAATCTATTCCTACTCAGCCACCTGGACACATACTGCTTAGAGTGTCTCATGAGAGCTTCTAGCTCATCCTTTGTAATGAGATCACATTTTCCTTTCTCTATATAACTATCTGGAAACTCAAACTTCAAAGGCCCCATTGCCTAAGATAAAACACAATTGGAAAGCTACAGCTGACAAGCTTTACTCTGCCTATATTCTGCAGTTTCACTTAACTTCTGCTATGCAGAGATACTACCTATTCAGGAACCAGTTTAACTTTTTTTATGGTAGTAAAATACACATAACATGAACCAGTTTGCTTTGTAAAAACAAAAAAACGAGTATTTTTAAAGCAACTTTGTTTTATTACAGTGGCCATTCTAATTTTAATTATTGTCTACAGAGAGAATATAATAAAGATCTAAAGGAAAAATACTCTTACATGAGGGACAAAAAAGTATAGAAAATTTTTGTAGAAAAAAATTGAGGATTGAGGAGGGGAAATTCCAAAAACATCAGGTCAGATGTTCTTGGCAGCCACAGCAAAATTTCTGAACATTCTGCAAAATTATAACATTTATAGTTCAAAAAAATACTAAATGAAAATATTCTACCTTAAGCCTTTTGCATGTATTCTACTTCAGGACAGTCAGCTTACTACTTGGAGCTTCATAGAGTTTGAGCCAAAAGAAAAAGGAATTTTTAAAATTATTCTCTGGGTCTAGTGAAGGTAGAACTGTTTTGGAAACTGTTATGAGAAGCAGGTCTGGGGATGAAGATTAAGAGCTAGTAAATGAGCTACCCTTGTCTCAGGTTGTTACCGGTAATGACGGAGCAAACGAAGATGATGAGGTAATGTACACAATGCACTGGAGACAGTGGTTGGTAGTCAGTATTATTACCTATACTATTACTAATATAAACATCTAGTGTTAGGAATGATTGGGATATACAATGAAGCTAATTCTTATACATGAAGAGTAATAAATGCATATATTTAGCCTCCAATCATACATGTGGAAAGCCTTATGTCAAATCTGAAAACTACAAGAGGCAAAATAAAAATTATCTGCCCCCAAGAAGTTTACCACCTTGTAGAAATTGTAGATGTACATTAAAAAAAGTAACCTGAGATGAGCAAATATCAACAGGCAAAAAAGTGCTACAAGAATTTAAAGGAATTTACCACTCTGAGACTATTTTTTAAACTTTTTCAAAATATAATTCCCTCAGTGATATATAACTGGAACAATTTTTTAAGTCATATTTGTAAGTCTAATAGGTTTACTAGTTATAAAAGTGACAGACAAATGCCTGTACAGATAGCTGGGAGGCAATCCAGCTTTACTCATACAGGACTGCTTGGAGGATGTTAATATGCATAGTAAAGATTTTCTGCCAATGCCTGTGTTTTCAGAAAGCAAGGCAAATGGCATTCCTCAGATTATTTCATTTTAACTTCCAGCCCCGTTATTCCACAAAAACAGTTTTTCCTGAGCTGTAGATGGGATCTTCACGCCACTCAATTCAGGAGACCAAGAATCAACCTGGAGAGCTACATGGTCAGAGCAATACTTAAATTCACACTGAGAACTGGCTCAGAATAGAGACCCCACTGCTACCACTGCTGAGCACAGAAACTTAAACATTTACTTAATAAATAGCTTAAACTTAATACATTTGTATTATATCAATACATAATTCTATTTAAAATACTTTAATTGCTCCTGCTGGTATTCTGGAATTCTTCATGAAGTAAGAACACTGACAATCAAAATTTGCACTGTGTCATGTGAAAGAAAAGGCTCACATGGCTCTTGTATTGACGTATAGAATGCAGAAAACTCTACAGATATGTACCCCTCCATAACCTGTGAGTCCTGTAAATGTTCATTTCTTGGAGCTTTTCAGAGTTTCTCACCTTCTTATTCAACAATAACCTTAGGGTGCACTTCCAAATAACTCCGAATTTTGTAAAAGGCAAAGTACCGTGTGGACACCAATGTTCCTATAATAACAAGACTGTTCTGCACTTGACTTGCATTATGTTCTCAGAAAGATTCGAAGGTATGATTTCAGTAAAAATTCATAATTTAATTTGAATAAAATTCAGAATTCATGCTGTGCATATGGGGTTCCTCTGCCTCTTTCCTTGTTCTCACAAGGAAATGACTGCCCAGTTATCATGAGTGTAGTTCCTACTCCTTCACATGATGCTCACTGTTGTCACAAGACATCTGTGCCTTAAACAAAACAGGACTGATGAGAATCATATATGGAGAAGGATTCATATCTGTCCTCACTGGCTCTTAAAACCATGCGTTTATTCTAACCAACCTGTTTTATGTAAATTCCTGTACTTCAATTCCAATCATTAAGTTTTAAAATATTCTAATAATATTTTTTTAATTAGTAATGATGGCTCCCCAATTCAATATGGCAAATAATGTCAAAGGCCTTATCAAATGACTTATGCACCTAGTAAAACATCATAATTTTTCATTATTAATTTTTCTCACTGTACAGAGATCAGTTTAAATCTGTCAAGATTTCCTATAATATAAATCTTAATTTGAACTAATTGAATATAATACAAAGATTACTTCAATCTTTTAATGATAATATAAATCTTCCTTTAAGATCTGTTATAATCCAGCATGATTATGACTGTAAAGAACTGACTCATTGATTCATAAAGAAAATTATTCATTAAACAGTTGTAGCTTATTCTGCTTGAAAAGTCTCCAAAGCATGTAAATTTCCAATACTCACACTGTAGTAACTGATACAACTTTTAACAAGCATTTATCTGGTAGCATTTGCTGTTAACCTTTATGAAATCACTAGTCATTTAAAACAGTATGATATTACAATAAAAATGGATAATATTGTCTGTCATAATTTCAACAGATTTTTCCCTTATTATTGAAGTCAAAGAAAACTGGGGTGATTCTTTTTTTGCTCCATGGTATTTTATGACTCCAGAACTTGTACCATTTATACAACTAGAACCATGTCTACATAATGAATGAATGAACAATATAGGTCATAGGTATTCCTATACAAGAGGTCTTTCAAAGAAGCTGGTAAAGTTATGCCAAAGAATGGAGATATAGGAAATGGTTTATTTTGCCAACGGCCCCTGTGGTGAGGCCTATGTTGTCAGAAAGGCTAAAGCATTTAAAAATAGAGACAAGGCACAGATTTGACTATAAAGATATGAACCTCAATTTCTACATAAAGACATAATAGATACCAAGAATAAAGCTTTGGGCAAAGATATTCTTTCCCTTGTCCCCAGGAAACAAAAAGTATCAAATTTATAGTACAATATATTTGGAATTATTTTTTTAAAGTTTTCCATTATTTCATTTTAAGAATATGCATTTCTTATCCTATTTAATTATTATTATATGCATCATAAAGCTTTGGTTCTCAAATTTTCCTATTTCCCTTAGGAGTTTTGTAAAGCCCACTTTTGGAAAATGAGGTAACCACAGTGTGATTCCCACTTTGTAGCAGATTTCCAAAGGAATGCTAATCTTTTGAGAATTTTTTTAAATTTAAGGAGAGAAAATACATTTATAGCACAACATAGAACTTTCATGAATTATTCATAAATCACAGATGCCACTGTCATTCTGGGAAAAAAATGTTATATTCTTTTTTAATGTACTTGAAGTCAATGATAGACTGCACTTGTCAAATTTTCAGTTATATTAAGAAAGAAATCATGAAACATCAAAAAATAAGAAATATCATGAGTTAATAAAATAATTTGACTGAAATAAATAACAGAAGTATTTATGGCAAATTTATCTACCCAACAGCTGGCTAGATCCATTAAATCAATTTGACAAAGCTGGTCTAATTTAAGTTCATTTAAATTAGGAAAATCTGAATGTAATACCTGAGACTGTGCATTAATATTGGCTCCTTCTTTAACAAGAACTTTGACAACTTCTGCTTGTCCAGCCAATGATGCAATGTGAAGAGCAGTATTTCCCTTCTGTTTTAGAGAAACAAAAGTAGAAAATGTTAGAGGTTTTGAAATTTTGTAGAAATAAAAATGTACATACATTTTCAATTTTGCTGACTATTTTAAGTGTTTAAAATTTGTCATTGATAATAGCCCACCTTGAGATAATTTTTTACTGTCAAAACATTGACCATCCCTTATATTGTGTCTTTCACAATTCTAGTACAGTGTGAAGAACACAGGCTAGTTCTTATTATATCAAATAATTTGAGATGTGTTTGCAGGTATATGTGTATCAGTATCACCATGCATGCAATTTAATCAACAACTAAAGTTTTATCCCAAAGTAAAGTTAACTAAAAAAAACAGTGTACTGAACCATTGAGTTTATTTCACCTTGGTGAAAAACCTAGGATTTTTAAATGGTAGAGAAACTGACTGAACTCACAGTTGTATTTCCAGCCACTAGAGCTCATGGCTGTTTAAGTATTTGGAGGAAAGAAATAATACATGTTATATTAACTACAATGTTATCAATGATTTCTACCACTTGCTACCTCAAAATTTACCATTCATAGTACCAAACACAAATGAAAATTAATTTAACCCTGTCATGAAAAGAAAATACAGGCTGAGTTTAAAGAATGCCTGCTTGATTAAAACAAATAACGAAAAGAAAAATGAAAAACAAATCTGTAGATTCAGAGCCATAAATTTTGAAAACTGGTTCTCTTTTTTTATAAGAATTTTTATTGGAATATAGTTGATACACAACATTATCTTGGTTTCAGATATACAACTTAGTGACTCAATAATTATGCACATTACTAATTGTCCACCACAGTAAATACAGTTATTACCCCCCACTAACTTATCAAGATATTACAATATTATTGTCTGTATTATCTTTATTATATTTCTATTCTTACGACTAATTTGTTTCATAATTTTAAGTTTTTACCTCTTTATCCTTTTCATCTATTTTACCCATTCCCCACCTCCCTTCCCTATGGTAATCAACAGCATGTTGTCAGTATTTATGTGTCAACATATTGTTTGTTTTGTTTTTTAGATTCCACATATAAATGAAATCTATGGCATTTGTCTTTCTTTATTTGACTTATTGAACTTAGCATGATACCCTGTATATCCATCCACACTGTTGTAAATGGCAAGGTTTTTTATGACAACACTAGTTCTCTTTTTGCTACCAGCTCACTGTTGGGCCCTTAGCCACTCATATAGTATTTTGAGAGCTCAGTTGCCTCTCCTTTAAAGGAGCTTTAAATGAGATTTTTTTCTAGATCTAAAATTCTGTAATTGTAATCTATGATTAAAAATGAATCTATATTTTAAAATGTTAGTAGAATTAAAAGGAAAATGCTAATAAAATAAACACTTAAGCAACCAAAAATGGCTGGTTTAATGAATGTATTACATTAATATGGGCAACTCAGGGGAAACAAATAATTTGATAGACATTCAAACTACTGTTCTTTAAATACTTGTTTAACATTTATTTGATATTGTCCAGAGAAATGTTAATAAAAATGTTTATTCTTTCTTTATGTTCAAAGTAAGGAATTCACTGCATACAGTGAACTTCTATTTTGGCTTCTTTGGAATTGCCAGAGAATTTTGTTTTTTACTTTAAATTTCCACTAGATTTGCTCCATACTATAATGTAAGCAGGACCAGTGTAGATTTCGGTAATTATGCATGAGTTGTTGGAAATCCAGGTTACCTGGCCATATTCCTAATTCCAGCATTCTTTTTGTCTATGCCTGATTAACCTAATGCCCCAGCTGGAGGCTGAGGGCTTGCTGCTTCTGTATGTCCCACAGCATTATTACGGCACTCACTCCAGCCTGGTCAGCAGGCGTGATGTTGATTGATTACTGCTCTTTCTCCAAATTAAAATTTTATCTTCTGAAGATAAAGATTTGCCACTACTGATCTCATTTTTTAAAATGTCTGTTGATTCTGAAATGACCCCCCCAGAGACGAGGTTCAAATATATTTTAGCAATATTAACAAGGAAGCAACAGTTTCTAGTATGCCAAGCTTCTTGTTTACACTTCTTGAAATGAGTCCAATTTATTTACAAGCACACATTATAGTGACAAAATCTAATTTTACCCTAATAATTCAATTCATGATCCAAAATCTCTTTTCTATTAGAGTATAAAGGATTCTGTATATTTTCTTACCATGTTAAATGAACACATTAAAAGATGTTAACAATTTAATTAAAGCATGACAATTATTCATTTCCATTGAGGAGCTTACTATATCAATTTATTTTCAAAAATGGATTAATCTTAGGAAAATAAGTACTATTGTCTAAAGGATTAATCAGGACTCTATATGAATCAAAGGAAAAAAGATAAAACACTAGAAACTAGGTACACAGAATTCTTCAGTCTCTTGCCTGATAAATCTCTAAATGAAAGAATTCAAACCCTGCAAAGTTTAATCTAAAGGGTTCCAATTTCAGTTCTGCATTAAGAATCTTGGTGTTCCTGGGAACATCTAAAATGTATAGCCAGGGAAAAGCAGCTCTGAATCATTCCCTCTTTCCCAAGGAAATAAATTCCACCAGCATGAACATTACCTTAGTGGCAGAATCCACAGCAGACCCCCTTCCCAGCAGCTCCTGGACCAGCCCCACATGGCCCTCTTTAGCAGCCAGATGGAGGGCATTGAGTCCATTCTGAAAAGGGAAGCAAAAACAAGGCTCAGAAGAGGGAGGCTAACCTCAGACAAGTAAATAACCCAGAGAATAAACTTGCCTCTCTTTATTGTTCTCTTTCTTTTTGCATTAGCTTGATGCTATGAAGTTCACAGAAACTAATTTGCCATGTTTTTGATTCAGAGAGGCAAAGA